AGTGGAGTGATGATACACTTCTTATTGAAGCGAGTTGGGACGTTGACTTTGTTGAGAAGCTTGTGGACAAATGATGTGTTTTCAAGACAATGCTGCTATATAGAGACAAGGTCATCCTTGTAACAGATTTGCTGAAAGAGCCATGTTTTGAAAACAGCACGAGGCTCAATACTGCTAGTGACAGCGGCAAACAGCTCCGAGATATTATATATGACGGACTGACTTCTATTTCTCAAGCCGTTCTCCAATCTCGGTCAGATTTACTTGGCCTCCGGCAAATGTGGTGCACTATAGGACAATTTAAAGCAAGAGTGGAGACTTACGAAGAATTTCCGGGCGTCGTCCAAGTTCTATGAACTTCTAAAATATTATCAGACGCAGGCAATGGCGCCCTATTATATCCAACGACAGCTGCAAGTGATATAAGCCTAGGTATTTCTACGGAATCAACGCCCACACAGAGCTCGGAGACGTGTGTGAAGTGAATCTTCTCGCTGTAGAAACCCTGGACAACAGCGCACAGGCCATCGATATCGCAGCTTCGACCTTGTCACATCAGGCCCGCATGTATGAGATTATGGGAAAGGTACAAAGAGCAATCGAGCTCAACATCAAGGGTTGCAATATGCGGTTAGGTGAAAATCCATTGAAAGGCGGGCTTCTCGGTGGCTTTGAGTAGAACCTGGCTTACAACTATAACACAGCCAATGACCATCACATGGCACTGACGTGATTTAGAAGATTGAGAGATACGTGGATTGCCTGGAACATTAAGGAAGGGACACTGACTGGTCGACGGTGACGAGGAAGAATATGGCGAGGTGCTTTGTCTATCTTGGTAAACATGACAAGGCCCACGAATTGCTCGAGACTGATTAGTGACTTCAAACGAAAAGAGCCACTTAATTGGCCTATGCCGGCTTAGTAAGTATCTTCAATATCCGGTAGTTATACCATGCTTACCAGAGGCCAGGAAGAGTAATCCATGTCTGCAGCGCTTAGTTCGTCCTGAGTCCCCTTACTCGGTACGAAAACAGACCTGAGGCGGCTGAGGAAAGCTTCCTTGAGGCGCAAATTCTATGGTTTGAAGGAGATCAGACAGAATTTCATCCATTTAATGCGGGGTGCATGTGCAAGACAGGTGTGGTCTGTCTTGATCAAGCGAAGGTGCAGGCGGCTACTATGTATGCAACTGCCGTTCTTTCCTCATTTCTTAGCCAAGCTAATCAACACATCTGCTTCCCAGCAAGGACATCCGTGACCCTCTAGAGATCACGTGATTTTATGCCAATGTGATGCCTGTTGAGCACGCGAGGGGCCGGTTCAAGCTGTCCGAAGCGCTGCTGCAGGATTCCTATGATAGTGAGATATAACAGGGTATCTAGCCCGCAATCAGACGCAAATCTATGGCCACCGAGGTGAATGGGAATGGCAGCAATAGACAAAAGGCATAGTCTATACCAGGGGATAAGATGGGGGAGACTAATATACGATTAGAAATACTAGAATGATTACTTGGATAGACTATAAGCCACATCGCTATGTGAATGGGTGGTTGCCTGGCCTGCGTTTTGGCATCACCATTACGCTCGTATGACTCGAACTACGAATTCATCTCCTGCAAACTTTTGAGCGATGATTTTCAACCATCCAACACTCGTTTTACAATATCTCCATTAGACGTTATCTCCCGCAAGTACCTCCTCTCACTCTTATCTCCCGAAGCTTTAGGAGACTGTTACATCTTTCCTATCACTACTTCCAGAATGCCGCTCCGACCACCACCAGACTGGTTGATGCCCTTTTTCATTTTGCTTGGCCAGCATTTTCTTTGGGAGGCGCATCTTCGGAACTTTCAAAGAATAGGATTTCTCGAAGAAGAGCTAGCTCGGCTAAAACTCGCTAAGGATGAAGCACATACATCTGAATCGCAAGAGGCATTAGACTCAGCTCTTAATTCCTCTTCAAGACATGTCATGTCGACCTCACCGAGGATCTTGTCGCAAACGGCCATAAGATCGCAGCGCGACTAATGTATGGGCGGGTGGAGGCCATCGCTCCCATATTCCGTTCGGTGATCTTGGCGCAGGCCTCACGCCCTCTTCATACATATCTACCCCCAGGGTCAGCATGAACGATTGCTGGAGGCACGATTGAGTAGAATGTGAATGCATGACGACACTGGTTTGGCAGGCTTGCTGCGATGAATGCTCCCAAGGACTCTCTACCACCCTCCTTTGCCTGTGTCTAAGGAAGGAACTTCGCTTGTTATCGCGTGTTGGTTTTTAGCTATATTAATCGCTTGAGCTGTAATTCTGCCTTACTGCAATGTTATAAAGAGAGATATAATTAGAGCTTCCCCTTCAAGTACCTTCACTTTGCAAGAAATCTTTCTGTTCAAAAGTAGGATATTTTAGATAATGTGAAATATAGACTCGTGGTCTGTTAGAGCCTTCTACTATTCGGTAATGGTGTCGTGTCCACTTGGGACCTGTTATGTTAAGCGAGAGTTTTAATCTACAAATCCATCGAAGGCCGAGTCTGGGGATAATATGCCATAGGAAATTGGGGAGCTACTTCTATTGTTTCATCACCAGTGGAAATATTGACGACAGAATAAATAGCGGTATGTTCGATTCACCACGGATCAATTTGGAGTCTATGCACTTCTTGTGCATCGGCACAGAGAAGCTGATTCAGACACTCGTTCGCCCGTCTTAGAACTTGGGACCGGGGGCCGTGCGCGTCAACTTGGGTTTCGTGCTGTCAAGGACCCCATCGTCCATGAAGGACAAGAATCCAGAGCTCTGCCTGTTGTTAGCACGGTCATCGCCATTTACGGCGCGGTAAATAGCGCTTGGAGTCGATGCCTTGGGGGACGCACGAGACACGGGCCCGGGCCACTAATGGGAGTTAGTTCAACCATGCACAGGTGAGAAGTTAGTATTGCTTAACGTCCGTGGGGGTTCTGGGCGAGCCCAGGCCTCCAAGATCCCCGCAGAGGTAGAGGGATGTGCTGACCTAGCTAATCTGTAGCGTGCCGAGGCATCACTCTGGCCATCCCTGCCAGTTTGTCAGAGTGGTGCAACAAGCTCGCCGGTTTTCATCCGTCCTCCTATCCACAAATACGTCAATCAGCAACTGCACAGGTGATAATTTCCTGGACAGGGTATCTGATACTGACTGGTCCTTGACGGAGCTCATTGTGGGTAGGGCAGAGGTGGTGTTGATCTATCGCGCTCGGGGATGAAGTGAGGTCGGACAAGGAATCGAAACCCCCATATACTGACATTGAGGGAGTAGCTATGGCCGTGATAATGGGAAAGGTGTATATGAACATGGTTAGCGAGTCAAAGCCAAGCTGCTGGATGTAGACACTCTCACCGTAAATCACTCTTCTCGAGTTTCCCAAGCCCGACCCATCCACCCATCCACCGGGCTCGGTTTCTTTTTTCTTTTTTTCTTTTTTTCTTTTTTTCTTTTTTTTTTTTTTGAACGATAGAAAACTAAGTAAAGACTAACCTAAAACTAACCTAAAGCTAAGTTGAAACAAGGAGTGAGCCCACCCACCCATCCAAAAGCAAGAAATCAGAATAGATCGCGAAGTACTGGACAACGAAGCACCACGGGCACCAACGGACCTGATCAGCCGAGAAGCAGGCCCCTATGGCTCCTGCAACCGCCTTCACAAGCGAGTGACGATGTCCACTGGAATACAGGCCCCTATGGCTCCTGTAACCGCCTTAATTGCAAGCGCACTTTGGTGTTGTCCAACCGTAGTGAACTCATCCAGCGCAAAGAAGCATCAACTCTTCAGGTGTTAGATCACTCAGCGGCGATCTATTGACCACCTGAGGTGTTTGAGGCTGGCCGCGTTCAGCTCGCTCCCCCATTTCAGACCATGCTGTCGCCCCGCCGATGATCATCCAGACCCACTCGCGGTGGGTGGGATGGTAGTAAAGGTGTCTCGGCACTGGGAAACGACGAAGGAATGTATATGGCATACTTAACGACTCAAATACATGGGGAGGGAAAGGGAAGAAGTTTCGTGGGGATACGATCTGGATTTTTATCACTCCCATAATCTCTACAGGGAAGGCGCGGCGTTGAAGTTCCAAGAGGGAAGGTGGCAGTCATATTATCAGATCATTCCACCCATTGCACTGATGTATATACTTTGTGGTATACAAACGACTGCAACTATCAACACACTGTTCTGTTAAACCAAAACTTGATGCAATATATTGTATTTTGCTCTCAATACTCTTTGCGGTATTCAACACCTGGATCTTCATCTGGCGTAATGCACTGAACAATCTGTATGTCCTACGCACCTCCTCCGACTTCTTCTGAATTGGGATCGACAATCCAGCACGCAAAGATCTTTATGACTCGGGGAACAACTTGAAAACAGCTTTCCCTATATATTACCTGTATAGAAGAACTAATTGAACTGGTACTTTCAGTGGAACTGCAGTGAACCAGGCGCGAAAGCAATCTTGTTGTATCAGTTCGCAGGTCTTGCAACTGCTTATAGAGTGTGGCTTTCAGACTCCGGTGGCAAAAAGAAACTAGTGATCAGCCTTTCTGGGCTATTAGTCTGTGATTGTCATTATTGAGTACTTAACCCACTCAGGTAACAGGCTTATGGTTGAATGCTGAACAAGTATTCGATCAATTAGGTGATGTATATATGGTGGTTCGTACCCAGAATGACATATATATATATTCTAAATTTAGTTCAACAGTTTCACCCCAGCCTGAGCTCGACCTATAACATAAAGAGAGCTCAAGCATTAAAGGATGGAAACACCACACAAAAATAATTAAATTAAAAAAAGGATTTAGAAGACAATTGAGCCTTTAGAGAATATATGTAATATCCACGGTGCTCGTAGTTTTAGTTAGCCACATGAACAGGCCAAAATCAGGTAGTTAGTTAGCCGCGGGAACGTCCCACGGGAGCCAAGTACAAAAGATTTTAAAAAATAAAAAAGACAAGCCGAACGCGGGGGTCGAACCCGCAACCTTGAGATGCCGTGAAGACTAAGAGTCTCACGCTCTACCGATTGAGCTAGCCCGGCTGGTATTGAAATAACGCTATCAATTCTGTCCTTATATTCCGGAATTATACGAGCAAACAATCCGCGAAAATTTACTAGTACTTCCGCACCACCACGAGTGGTTACTACCAGAAAAAGCCCATCAATCAGCAAATATAATCCATTACTAGACTATAGCAAATTTCAAAAACGGTATATACAGGCAGAGCCCGTTACATTAATTCGGTCAGACAGAGTAAAATATACAGAACAAGCCCATTGCTTTCCTAGTCGTTCCAATCGGTCATGGCGCTTGCCTTCGTCACCATCGTCAAAGGTCGTTGCAGGACGATGGGATCATCCCCATTGAGGTTCGTCACTTAGACAGCGACGGCAATGGCGGCCATGGCGACGGCGCCAAGGGAGTAGCCGATGGTGGCCTTGTTGGCAGCACCGGTGGCCAGGGGAGGAGAGGTGGCGGAGGCAGAGCCGGAGCCAGTGGGGGTGCTGGAGCCGGAGGGGGCAGCGGAGGAGCTGGCAGCACCGGAGGAGGTGGGGATCACAGAGCTGGAGGTGGCAGATGCAGTGCCGGTAGCAGAGGCGCTGCCGGTCTCAGAAGCGCTGCCGGTGGCAGAGGCGCTCTCGGAGGGAGCAGCGCTGGAAGAGGGGGCGGAGTCGGAAACGTCCTTGTACTCATCGATACCCTTCTGGATGGCCTTGCTGATACCAGCGGAGAGGTTCTGAGCGATTTCCTTGAGAGACTCAGGGACCTTGGAGGTGATGGCATCGGCGAGACCATCGGCAGCAGACTTCTGCTGGTTCAGGGACTCCTTGACCTTGCCGCCAGCGCCAGCCTTGACGAACTGGTCCTTCTTGGCGATAATGTCATCGACGGCCTGCTCAACCTTCTTGGTCAAGTCCTGGACGGGTCCAGGCAGAGCAAGAGCATCGGTGGTGCTAATGTCGTCACCGCCCTTGATGGCCTCAGTGCCCTTGGTAATGGTGGAGACCAAGTCAGCCGAAGCGGACTCAACCTTGGAGGGATCACCGCCGCTGTAAGCCTTGATGGCGGAGTCAAGAGCGTCGGTCTTGTCGCTGATATCGGCGATGATGTCAGTGGGAGAGGAACCAGCACGCTCAACGAGAGGGGTGGCCAGGGCGGCGCCGGCGAGACCCAGGGTGAAGATAGCGGAGAATCTCATCTTGACGGGAAAGACTGGTAAGTTGAATTAAGATTAAGGTGATCTATGTATAATGGGGAAGACCAAACGAGTGCCCGAGTGTAGAGAAGCTAAGAACGTTGCCAAAAGAATGGAGAGCTCTGATCTGTTCTTTCTCCCATCGAGGCGCATCCAACCGTCTCTATATATACACGACGGACCGAAATGAAGCTCACATGCGTGGGCAGGTCCGGCCTCGGCCAGCATGGATCAGGGGAATGGAGCCCGTGGTTATTCTTAGCAGGATTGGGTTTAGGTTGCAGAGGCCCATCATTTGCCCCATGGGATTGGTCTGGGGGTGTATGAAGCTACCAGGATGAGTTTAATTAATATTTGGGTATGTCGTAGGGATCGTCGCCGTGACGGTTGGTCTGGACTTCTCTGACTGGTGCCGCTGAGATTTGAGGCGGCTTGGATCGTCGTTGGTCTGAGAGCATCGCATGTCATTGTGACATTCCTTAGGGCTCCGAAGCAAGGACGCACTACAACGTGACGGTCACCCTCCAGCAAAAGCTTGGGGATGTTAGGGCAAATTTGCTCAGGACCAACGTCAACCTCCGTTGCACAAGCATGCACCCGACCAAAAACCATGAGTAATAACAACCCTTGGGGAGCGAATTGCTTCTCTGTAATCCAATCAATTAGGATTCAATGGCGGGGACGCTATGGCATTAGCGCTGTAACATTGGGGTCAGAACTCCGGGCCGCCCCCAGATTCTCATTTGTTCTCTCTTCTCAGGTCCGGGGGAGATTCGCCTAAACGGCACTTGGCCCGACTCTTAGTCCCTGCTTCGACCCTCATGAACTGAGACATTGCACCATTTGAATCCCAGATTACCCCGCACAGTTGGCTCCATTGTGTTGTTTCTCTCGTTCGGGCTTCCGGCGTGCGGATCCCAAGGGCTAAACTCTTGGCATCATATCGTCTCCAAACGGGGCCCTCCGTTAGTCCCCCCGATGAAAATTCCCATATTTGGGCATGGATGTGGCAAGAACCCACCCGACTCCCCGCTGATTGGTAATAGCAATAGGTCATCCTAAGTAGCGCATCCTAGGAAATATCGAGCGAAGCGAAATTGCCTCTGTCCCGTTCATTGTGAACTTTTTGCAGCCACTTACTCGCTGGAAACGCTTCTCTCCCAGGAGCGTTCAGCTGTCTACCTCGGTTGCAACCCGCGGGATCTTTTGCTTCGCGCTCGTACCTTTTGTTGGAACCTTGGCTACCTTTCTCGCATCCAGAGTAACATGAGATTTGCCCGGTGGGAATGAAATGAAATCCATGGCGCTTCCTTCTTGCTCGATCGCGTTAGATGGCGACATGCGCCAATACCGTCCCTGGCATATCAGGTGGTCCTTGCAGCTCCTTCTAGAGTCCTAGTTTGTACAAAATAGTAGTCATTACTCTCAACTTTGGGGTCACATCCGCCGGACCCATACACGAGGCGATCCCCCCGTGTGGAACCTATTACTACCGAATACTTTGGCAATCTCGCTTGGCTCGAACTGGCCTGAATTCGAGTTTATGATTTGGTTTTTTTTTTTTATGAATGGAAGATTCCGGAAATAACAGGAGTGGATTCTGTTCGAAATAATCCGAATATAGCGGCATTTTTGGTCCAATAACCACCCGGCTTGGCTTGTAGGGATTTGGCGGCAAAAGGCGACATTCCAACTGCTCGTCGTGCTCTTAGTAGCCGGAGGTTACATTGTCCTAGTAGTGTAAGTACTTTGTGCTCTGATCCCATGCATAAATGGCTTCCCTAGATCCTAGTCTAGTCTCTCTACGGCCATTAGTAGTGAACATGGAGCCCGAAGCTACTGTAGCGCGAAATCGGTGGCGATTCATTTAGGGGTCCCGGACTACGGAAGGCCTGGAGCTCTGCCTAAACTTGTGTTATGCGATCTAGAGCAATCTGATGGCAAGCACGTTGCAGGATTTCGCCTTAGCGCTCTATTTGGTCTAATATGGAAAGCATTGCGATCGCTTAGGACTTGGACGAGACATGGATTAGTACTGTCAAAGATACCTATAACACGAGTGCCGTTCCCTGGTCATAATATTGACGTGCGACGCTCGGTGATTGAAATCTGTCCCAATTCGAGGAAAATCCAACGATCCCAATTTTAGATTATCTATGCTTTCTCGCAACCAGAGATTAACTTTGTGGCAGCACTTTATTTGACGCCAACACGAAATGATGATTTTCGCGTGATTCTGTTGACATACGCTGTCTCTTGAATCTCAGAAGTCGCCGAGGTTTTAATCATCCACCTGGTGCATTGGGCTGGCGCAATGCGCAGGCCTTGTTGTACCATGCGATTGTACTGGGATCTCACGAAACCTAACCATCCCTTCGCTGATCTAGACTCGGCTTCAACTCTGGTTGTCCTGCTTTTCCAGGCACAATTTTAGAGTTTACCCTGCCCGTTCCACGACAGGTCCGACTACGGATCAAACAAACCTAGGGCTACACTTATCGTGCCTTGAAATCGGAGTCGGTCGCTATAACTTCGGAGAACTTGAAACTAGCCCTACACCCGTCGTGCGAGGACGATCAGCGACGTCGATCTTATTAGACTCGTTAAAACGCGGAGCCATGATCGTCGCTGCCATTGCCGGTTACATACTGGTAGAGTCGATCATTGTCACACCATTAGAAGGACAAATGACCTATTTCATTACCTTGTTTTGGGATCATGGAACTAACACGGTAGGAGAAATGAATTGTCTGGGTAGAAGATACACATGTATTGGCTTCGGTTTCACAAACACAATGGCTGCTCGGTGACTTTGATGGCTAAAACAAGTCCGGGAGTCTCAGTCGCCGTTCGCTGTTCATGTAGGCTCGTAATGGATGCGGCTTGCTTATGCCTAGGAAGAACTAGGATCCATTCTGACACTTTTCTAAAGGCTCAAAGAAAAACATCTTATATCCAGGGAGGCTGAGGAAACCAAGTTTACGGGATGTGCACTCTAACAAGCCCTGCAGCCCGGACGGCAGATTGGGGATCGCAGGCTCCCCAGCTTTTGAAGGATGCGATCGATGAGAAGTCTGCGACACATCTATCCGGTGTGACAGGAGACAACCTGTCACAAGAATACGCAACAAACGTAAAAGATACGATAGCGGAGAAGGCCAAGCAATCCAGTCATAATCAAGAGGGAGCGCGGTTAAGTGGATAAGGATGCACCAAAGTTGACGGGCACCTCTCTCATATTGTTCGCAATTATGCTGCACTCCAGCGTACCGGAATCCGCGATTTCATATAATGTTCAGATGCAACAGGGGAAATCAGTTCGCCGGTTTAATGTGTAGAACAGTTCAGACGCGCATCTGATCAACACAGCTGTGAACGAGGGTTATACCTTGCAAATCGAATAGTGACCGGAAGGCATAGGCAATACTCCCTACCAATCCCACCCAGCATGACCATACTCTCACAGTAAGGGGTAACATACGCCAGATTGAACGCCGAGTATAGTGGCCGGGCCAGCTCGGCAACAGGACTAAGAATAACGACTGTCATATGAAACACTTGCAACAGGTTGCACTGTAACCGAGAATGATGACCTGATTAGCCTGAAGAATGACGCAAAGTGCAATGGTAAATGATTATAAAGAACATCCAACAGCTACCACATCGTCAAGAAAACATGTTGTTTCACGTAATATGTATACTTATCCGAAGGCTAGTGAAACGGTGACTTATTGCCGATCTATGGCCTTCCTGGATATTATGCCAATGGGTGCTGTAAGTTCACCTGCAATTGAAGCAAGCCAGAGAACAGCATTAAGGAAAGTCATTATCGCCAGGAAGACGGTCGCAATGCCGAGCTCATAACTACCAGCTGTTAAGCCAGCCTCGAGGCCCTGGCTAACACCAGCTGCCACTACAACCGCACAGATACTGCAAAGCGCGCCGACCATGAATAGGAATGGCATGTAACGAATGTGCCAACCTTCCACAACCATAAAAGCATAGATCCGTTTACCATACAGGTTCTCAGCATCCGAAAACTTGTCAGATGTGAGAGATCTGTTATAAACAGTTAGTAAACACATTTTTAGGCTTGAGATCTGTGACTATTCTTATTTGGTATATAATCTATTACCCTGTAGGAATGCGATAGCCTTAGATTCAATCCCATTCTGCTAATAATACTGAAACATTGACGGCATGAACTTGTATTCGTCTCTGCTTAACGATAACTGCCGAACGTGTCGAGCTATACAGTAGGGCGTATCAATTCCATATGCTATAGCATTGGACGGTGACTTTCGTTATCACACGTTCTTGACCCACGATGTCTACCTGCATGTGACAAGCTCAATTTCTTCCTCAAGGGCTATCTTGATTGATTCATTGATGTCCTTTTGTAATCCAACATGATCGAAGTCGGTGACAACAACACCAATTTCATTATTCGCTGGATTGTAGCTCATGAAGCGAGTCTACTGAGCTCGAAGTGACGGTGGCTATTCCAAAGCTCTATTTTTCGGCCAATCGTGGTGCTGCTGCTACAGTGAAGGGGACAAAATATTTCGTACTACTAATGCTCAGCTCAGTTTCGCTCTTGTTTACAACCTCCCGTCCATGCAAGATTGAATCTTTGCGGAAGTGGCAGTAGTACACAGACCAGACTGGGGGTACCAGACCAGCGGAAATGATGTGATCTTGAGGCAACGAGCGACTGAGCTGCCTGTGGATGCGAATAGCATTGCACGGTGGGCCAGGATGGAAACTGGAAAAGCATGGACCTGATGTTACAGACCCGTCCAGAAATCCGAGTCACTCACCTGAGATTGAAAGCAGCGGCGAAAAACCCGTTCGGTGTAGAGATGCTGCAGATTTGTACGATCGACGAGCTCCGGGGACAGAGATGGACAGCGAAATTCTCCTCACCGCGGCACGCCAAACCGAGGGAAAGGGCCAAGGCATCTTGAGGTTTCTGCTCGGCCAACTTGATCCAACATCTCCGATGACTGAGCAGATGGTTCTCGCTACTGTCTCTGAGAACTATGTGAGCGGCGATATTTTCGAGATATTCCTAGAAAACCTGAGCCCAAATACTCCGTTGACTGATGACCTAATCAAGAAGGTCGCTGTAGGAGGGCTAGACCTAGTGAAGCTGGTTCTGAACCGACAGCAAGCTGGACTGTTGTATCCGAGGAAGTAGTGTTGCTGGCTGCTTCAAACCGGGATCATCCACCGAAGACCCTGTAATTGGTGATGAAAAATCCTTCAGAGCTTTGTATCACTGAGGGGATTTTATGCACTGTCGCATCGAATCGCAAGCATGGCCCTTCTATAATGGAGTATAGCCTTTAGACTAAGCCACACATCCTTCCTGTTGTAGAAGATGTCCTGATCGCAGCATCTGCAACACACTAAGAGGTGCACGAAATGATTCTCCGCAAGTATCCAGAGACAACAGTCACCGATGGAATGTATGTGGCAGCCTGCAGAGATACCGATTCCATGCTGGTGCTTCTCTCTCAGCCTCTCTCAGCCCGCCCCCCCCCAAAATCCAAAAGTCCTTGCAGAAACTGCGGGCGGTATTTGGGATACAGCAAATATTATAAATATTCTTCTGGGCCGACAGCTTCTGGAAGTCAATTTGTCCGTGGTGGAAACACTTGCCGGCAGCGACTCAGCCCTGGAGGCCTTACTGGCATACAAACCAGATGTGGCCATCACGGGGAAAGCTCTGGTACGCGCAGCAGAAAAACCCAGGTCACTGTGCCTGCTGCTTTAGATAGAAAAGAATCATCATCTTGATACAGAAGGGGTGATGATAGTAGCGGCGAGCTCAAACGAAAGCGACGACAACCTCAAAACTATATTCTATCGAATTCTCTCAGTATATCTCACAGAGAAGGTGATTCAAGCAGCAATAAAGCTGCTCCTCGAACGGTAGCGTGATCTAACTTTGAAAGATATCTGGGCAGGTATTTGGAAGGATGCTGCTATTCCCGTCAAGGACAAGTATATTGCAACTTGGGTCACCCATGCCATGGCTAGCTTTGAAATGTCGGACACTGATCTACAAAAGCTATCCATAGAACCTGGAGCAAAACGATGCCTACGGCTTTGGACAGGTGGCCAGATTCTGCTGTGATCGTAAGATCGCATGATCAGTAACACAAATGCATGGTACTAGAGATACAAACCAGAAAAACTTAAGGAAGCGCAAGTCCCTAGCCCACCCCATGCCTAACGCTAAGACCAGAATAAGTATACAAGTATGACGAACTGATCTATAGACGTCAGAAAGCGTTTTTCTAAGTCTGACGAGTTCTTGAACGTTAGATATTTATAGAGATTTGCATCCCGCGTTTAGCATTGAATTTGATGATATTGATGATGGGTAAAAGCTTTCAATAAGTAGAATTTTATGTGTCGATGGGATTTCATGTTTGGAGGGAGGGTGAGAAGTGGGTTTCCTAACCCCACTGCCCCGCATGAAGTAAGAAGTGGAGATTGACGGGATCAAGCTGAACCAAGTACCAGGAGAATCTATAATCATATAGGAGTATAAAACGGACTGAATACTCCCATTAACATTACATAGAGTAGTCGATCCATGTTCTGACTGTATGTATTTCAATCCCATTTTGAGGCGCGGCTGAAGTGGGGGAAAGCTGAGAAGGGGTTTCCTGCACGCCGTGGATGGTGGTGATAGGCCATGAGAGAAATTGATCGGCTCTCAGCTGAGAACTTAGATTATGAACAGCCAAAGATTGCGTCGCAATAGTGGTGGAGCTGAAGTTGCCCCTCTTCCTATAATAGGGTCTTTCAAATATATTTAAAGACTGTATATTCCCGGTTCTCTCATCTTTTCTCCATCATCCCTTTTCATCACATCATTACTACCCTTGGATATCAACAACCCAAGACTCATCAAAATGCCCGTAAGTAAAGCCCCATATGCCTGACTCCCATTGTACCTCTAGCTAATTATGTTTATTTTAAACAGACCCGCTTTGTTTGTTCCCTATTAGTATAACTAACCAATAGAACCGCACCCGACTAACTATATCTTCTTATCTAGCTTGTCCACGTCCGCACCATGGAGCCTCCTAAGAACGATCTTGGTCAACCAGGAGCTAAGTACGTTTAATATAGTCTAATATCAGGGGAAATATAACTAATGAAATAATCCGGATATAGGGAGGGTCCCGTCATCGACGTCATCAAGGCTGCTGTAGCTCGATTTGGCATCTCTTTGAACAGAGCTGAATATGGGCCACAACCACCGACTTTCCCTCCATTGTATACGGTGATGTATGTTCTGCGATGATTATTAATGTACCACTAAAAATGAGGAGCTCCTAACTAACTTAACGACCTGCTTAGTGCGGAAATATCTGCTGATATTAGTGAAGATGTTTTCAAGGATGGACTTCAAGGTGCTTGGTTCGACCCAATGGTACAAAGCGGAGCCCCTCTGCCTCAAGCAGAGATCGACGTCCAAGAGTACGCTGCATAGTAGTGACTATCAAGTTGAGATACTTTATATGCTTTATAATGAAGCATGTTAGGAATCTAAGTGCAAATTCAAATAAAAATAAATGTGATAGTATTACTAGCAGAGGTACTATTATGATCAACTGTAATCGCTCCCATACTAAACATAGAAGTGAGCTGTATATAAGAGTTGGCGCTTAGAAGGCAAAGCATATACTAGGGGAACCATGTGGGATAATACCACCAAAAAAAAGAGACAAAGATAAAGGTAATTAATTCTGGAGTATAGAGTACATTTTATAGCGATATTCAATCTATTTAAGCTACGGTAGTGCTAGCCCATGTACTGGGCGAGGTAATGCAGCAAGTTAGTAGCTAAATGACCAACAGCAAATACCTACAATTATATGTTTTTAGTATTTTTGGAATACTGGCCTTTGCTATAATTTTATTGATTTAATTGTATTCAAATGGCCATTCGCTCATTCTGATTGGCTCCTTAACTGCCTCTATATTTCCTTTTTATGGCTTGCTTTGTGGCGTTTAGTTGGCTTCACTACTCTGGTCATGCATAGCATCAAATTCGCGGTCCACACTCAAATAGAAGAACCCCAGAATTTCATTGTCCCTGATGACCATGCGTAATACTTTACAAGCAGAAATAATCTTCCGTCGTAGCCAACACGCAATTGTTGAGTTTTCAACTAAGATTCAACTCCACAGCTAAACACTTAATCCCACCATGTTATATGGATATGTGGTGTGAAGCCGAAAGATCCGGCTTCAAATATATACCTGCAGGGCGTATCTCTTGATCCACCACCTCCAACAAAGATCTATATATACAAATACTAACTCCAATCACACACACACACACACACACATTGTAACGGCTTCTTAATGAATGGTTTGCATGGCAGATGCATCGCCTATTGCATCAATGTACATGGCCTTCTTCCACCAGTGCATATATATTCAATGGATTATCTCACATGGTAGTGCTCTGCTGTAGCAGACGTTAGTATTTTACATCCCTTATATTCTTGCAATACCTTTTATTCTCCTATCCTACGTTAGTTTAGCGATGGAAGATTGCGATTAGAGCTGTATAGCGATGCTTGAAACTAAATGTTAGTTTTGGCAGCACAAGGACTAGCTAGCATGCCTATCATATTTATAGCCATCTTAGAAAATCACGGACAGCTTAAATCGGCATTCAACAAATATAAATAAATGAATAATTTTAATATGCAAATGTGTTTAGCTCATGGACCTATCTAGTTTTATTCTCACTGGCAATATTACTTTAAGTTCAAGGATACATTCAAATATAATAACAAAGAAGCTGTGCAAGTCTTAATAGTCATGTACATACATTTCACAACCTGCTCACCTCCTACAAATATATATATATATTCCATTACAAGACCAAAACGTACCAGTACATTTTCGTCACAATATATATACCACATTCACTCCTACTTTAAGTACACGCGACAAAGTTGTTACCACTAGCTCCAGTGTGGGTAATCAAACCAGCCAACTCATCGTTACTGTTGAACACCACACGGTCCGCGCCAGGAGAACCACCGTTGTAGGTCTCGCCGGAGCTCAGAATAGGCCACTCATAGTAAGGAGAGTCCACAGGGAAGTCGAAGCCCTCGTAGTTGTTGTACTTGTGAGGATAGTTGTTGCTGCCGACGGTCTCGCCGGACTGCTGCAACTTGTAGCCGGCAGCCTGGGCGGTGGAAACGTCGGAGGAGGAGTAGCAGTTGCTGCCGCAGGTGTAGTCACAGGCCCGCTCAACGACAGAGGGAAGGGCGAGGGCGGTAGGGAGGAGGAGGGTAGCGAGGGACAGGAGCTGTTGGTTTTTTTTTGGGTTAGGATCTTATATATAACTGTAGGGTATATGTGGGATATGACGGGTGGAAACAGTGGAGTTGGAGATGGTGTATTGAGTTGGGACGATCGCGATCATACGTACCTTGCTGTACATCATCTTGATCAACGGGTGCGATCTACGCGCGGTTCCAAGATTTGGTTTTTTGGGTTTTTGGTTTGAAGGATCAAGGGTGATTGTCTTTGCTGATTGATGATTCCTTTCTCCTTCTGTTTCGGGGATTTTTATGGGTTTAAATAATGTCCAGGTCAAAGCTATCTACGTTGTCTCTAATGCTCGGCATTGCCGCATTCCGGCATCTGTCCGGCTTGAGATAGAAACTATTGATATGCGGTGTTACATTTCGGAGGTCCCCGTGAAGAATGTCGATAAGCAGATTGGTAGAAAGGCATGCAAGGCCGGCTGATCTTTCTGGAGGTAAGGCGTTGTTTCGAATTTATTGCATTTGATTGGATTGAAATGTATTTGCAGTGCAGATCCCTTCGCTTGTCTGAGGATTTCTTTGATCCTTATTTGCGGTGAGGGTTATCGCGCTCAGCTGACCGTGGCCAATGAGAGGCGGACAGCGGGTGCACGGGTGTCCGTTGGAGAGATTATATATGTGAACTAATTAGCCTGTTTAATATCGAGTGAAAAAGTAGTGCAGAATACATTTATGGATTGATTTCTATGCAAGTGATCGTCGCCCCCAGTGCGGCCATGACTGGCTGTCCGACTTTGACATTGCCCCTGATTTCATTTCTCCACTAACCTACGCTGTAGCTTTCGGACTCTCCGTCGGAATCCGCAAAACGGCCCGGCCCTCTATCGCAAACCGTTCCAATCGTTCAATTACCGCGTTTACTTCCGTTAATTCATAAACCTGATAGTGAGTAGACACCCGCCCGGCCACTGCCAGTTTCAGGAGATCTTGCATCTCCTCTTCCGTCCCCACACAGCTCCCAACAACGTGAAACCCGCGATTCACACAGTCCAACGGCGAGATAGGCATGCGGTAGTCTTGCGCGGGGAGGCCAACGCAGACGAGCGTACCGACGGGGCGAAGGAGTCGGAGAGCTTGGTTGTATGCGGTTGCAAGACCGACGACTACGACGACGGCGTGCGCGCCCGCGCCATCGGTTAGATTTTGGACTTCTTTCTCCACCTGTCTGAGTGTCAGTTTTACACACGTGGTTCACGAAGCGATTAGGTCCACCGACATCGTTACGGAAATCGACAAATGCCGCCGCGCCTGACTTCATGCAAATGTCTTGCTTCGTTGCGCTGACTGGGTTAGCTCTTGTTGTGGAGTTATGTTTGCGTGGGAATTGTGGTACCTGTCCACCGCGATGATATTGTACCCCATTTCCTTTCCGATTTGAATTCCTCTGTGACGGGTGAGTGGGTGTTGTCTGAATTCTGCAAGCGATTGTGATTCTTACAAATGTCCTAATCCACCACCGGCGCCCATAATTACGACCCAATCGCCCTTTTGGCAGAACTTGTGCAGTTTGTTCAGAGCGCCGTACATGGTCAGCCCGGCTATATTGTCAGTATCGCTGATTTCAGACTCTCGGGGGAAGAGAAATGGAATACATACCGCATAGCAAAGCCGCAACCGCCTCCGGCTGCAGTTCCTCAGGGATAATGGACACGAAATTGGCCGGAGAGACAATATATTCTGTCGCTATTAGCAGCTCATCCGAACCGCGGACTTGTGGAAGGTATACGCTGAAACGTTCCCGGGACATTCTAATATAATCAGCGAGAGAATGTTTGGGAACGAGGGAAAGAAACTGACCCGGCCGGAGTTACTCTGATTCGGACAGTTCGGATAGTTGACTTTACACGTCGGACACTTCATGCAGGTGCTATACAGCCATCTGGTCCTTCTTAGTTACTTTTTCTAAGCAGCTCCGACAATAGAGAGTGAGTGATACTTCACACCCACTCGCTTCCCTATCATGTCCTCGGTCGTATCCGGACCCACTGGATATCGTCAATCTGTTGACCCTCCTGAGCCGATGGATTATACAGGACTTACCTTGGACCACCCTCCCGATCCCCTCATGGCCGGGGACATTGGTGCTCATGGGTAATTCCCCATTAATATTGTGTAGATCCGAATGACTATCCGCCTATTAGCGACTGTACGCTAATTCGTAACCCATCAAGAATCAAGCTAGAAAATAAAGTACCAGAACCCAGTGCACTCCAACTTAATCAGTACCTCGCCTGCCTTGGGCGCAGGAACGGGGATGTCATGGCGGAGATCCAGTTTGGCGCCAGGATGCGGGCGCTCAATCGTAGCCGCGGTTTGGTATTTCGGGATGGACATCTTGGAAGTTCGAAATTGACTACGTACTCCGTATAGAGAACAATCTTGGTAGCAAGCAAGCAAGAGAAAAACAAATTATTGTGCGGTTCGGGCAAGGTATTTTTTTTTTTTTAAATGATCAGACTCCGTAAATCCGAGCCCACATCTCCATATCCGCCGATGCGGGGGAGCATCGAAATTGGGGGGATTTCCAGGCCAATTCCCGGTTGTGATAACCGACTCGGCTACTGATTGGGGCTGGACACTCCGTTGGCATGAATCATATATACATTTCTATTTCTATTCTTCAAATATGCAACCCTCCAATATTAACCAATAAATATATCCTTCAATTTAGTCAACCAGCCCTGCTGTTTGTCGGTTTCTGTCTCATCAACCACAGCGACTCTTCTTCCCGTCCAGATATCCATCTCCTCGAGTTTGACGATCTTCGTCTTATTCCAGATCTTATATCCCACAACCAACATCACGAAAACCGGAAGCAAGATATAATTAATGATGAAGTCATCCACACTAAACGGATTCAAAAAGGCCGTATACCCCTGGAAGAAAACGAGGAAGATAGTCGCGCCCAGCGCGAAATACGTCCCGTAGGGATAGAGGGCAGCTCGGAAAGGAAGTCGGGATGGATCGTCGCCTTGTACAACCATTGCTTTGCGAAAACGGATATGTGCGATGCAAATGACGGCCCAGACTACGAAGGTTGCCACTGTTTTCGTTCGGAGTAAGTATTGCATTTATATATGAGGTTAGGGAGGGAGGGAGTGTTGGTGTGAATTACTTACCTCCTGCTAAGGTGATTAATGCGGAGTATATCCGGCCCGCGCTCGAGGAGAGGGTTAAGAAGACGATGCAGGTGAAGATGTTCGAGAAGATGAGGGCCGCCCAGGGCACACCCCGGGAATTCGTGCGGCCGATGAAGCGTGGTGCCTTGCCGCTGCGAGCCATGAAGAGCATCGTTCGGGATGCGACGTACAATGAGCCGTTCCCGGCCGAGATGACGCTGATTACGATTAGGGCGTTGATTAGATGCGCGGCTGGGAGGATGCCTGCGTCGGTGAGCGCGATGGTCAATGGGGAGCTGGCGGCGGTGGAGGTGGAGCTGAGAAGTTTGGGATGGTTGTAGGGGAGTAGGATTCCCAGGAAGAAGAAGGTTCCTGGTCCTTGTCAGCGCGTTGCTTGTCTGCCTCGCGGAAGTGAGGTATACCAATATAGAAGATCAGGATACGCCAGAAGACCTGCTTGATGGCAGTCGGGACGGCCTTTTGGGGGTTTGCCGATTCTCCAGCAGTCACACCAACCCTGTGGTCGTCAGAGATTGTTCACTTGATATGTATGGGAGGACCTACATCTCTGTGCCCGCATAAAGCGTTCCGGCGACGACGAAGGTCCTTGCGACACCGTTGATGGAATCGGCAAATGCACCCGGGTCATGGTAATATTTGAATCCAATGGGACCAGGTCCGACGCCGCCCGTGCTGATGCAGATGGCCAGGATGAAGAACGCGAGCAGTGCCAGCACTTTGATACTGTTGATGGTACGTTAGCAAGTCAACGAGAACGCAGCAGCGAAGCACATACAGTGACAACCAAAACTCCATTTCACCATACGCGAGAACACCCAGATTGGACAACCCTAGGAACAGGAACCAAAAGATCAGGATCCAGCCCCATTGGGGCACAGCATCCGTCCAGAAACCGATGACAAGCGAAATCGCATTATATTCACTCGCCAGAATCTGTCGAGTTAGCGATATACCCACAGAATGATGAAGCAACGCTTACCGTCACCCAAAGGTACCAGTACGCCCATCCCAGTCCGAAGGCTAATGAATCGTCCACGAATCGTTGCGCATACTCGGTGAATGATCCAGAAACGGGGATTGCAGTAGCCAGTTCACCCAGTGATTGCCTGCTCTATTAGCGTCCAGCCGACACAAACGACCCACAAAACTCACATAACGAAAAACACAATAAGCCCGACAAGAGAAAAACTGATCAGACATCCCGCCGGGCCGCCCTTATTCAAGGCATTTCCCGAACCAACCAACAATCCCGGGCCGATAATCCCTGTACTGTCTTAGACATTGATATCACCACAGTTAAGACGGAGCACGGCCTACCGCCAATTGCGATCATTTGCAGATGTCGCGACTTCAACCTTCTCTTCAGCGGTGCGGCCAAGGGATCGATGGACCCTCTCTGGCTGCCGGGATCCTCCTCGTCCAGGTCGGACCGAGCCTGATACGTGACAGTATCATCTTTTCCGGATTTAATAGACATTGGCTATAAATTCTCTCTCAGAAATTCGTGGTCGTAGATGGTCGGGCTGTAAACTACATAACCGTGGAAAAAGGGCTCTATTGTAGGGAAGAGATAATTTTTGCCTACGCAAGCCCATGATGGCGTGAGTGGGCATGTGTGGTTGGTATCTCTTAGATCGGGCGACAGAAAGCGCGTTCATTTGCTGGCGATGTCGTGATAAGGGTGCATGTTTGCGGAAGACTCAACAGTTCTATTTCGAAGTAACCTTCCTAAAATTGTTATGGGCGTCATGTATTGTAAATTGTTATATATTAGTATCGGCGGATAGTGGAATTTACAATGAGAAGATTCTAAATTATGCTACAAACTGGGAGGAATAGCATGCCCTAGTGCTTAATTAGGAATAGGGCATCGCATTTAATACAACCGTATTACCGGTAGTCTTGCTGGGTGGGCAATTTTAAGCTTATAGCGGCAGCCGAGGAATTAGAAGCAAACCCTTAGCGTAGATCGTAGTCTCTTCGTTGATTGGACCTATAGCTCAGATGTGACCCTCATGTCGACAGGCACGCCACCTATGACACATTCGTAACCTCGAGCTTACTACAAGTTAACCATTGTCTACATAGATCTGCGGTGGTGCCTTCGTATAACAAAGGTTGCGTGGGGTGGGATCGCGTAGCTTGAGTTCTAGCGCGTGGTTTGAGCCGGCGTACAAGTAAGCAAGGAAACAAATAGGAGAGTTTCTAGGCAATGAATCAAGAGACATGGCTAAACCATGTCTTTTCCTTACATCGATATACGAATAAACCAGCATCAAATTCAATTTCATTTGTTTAGGGTCAATGCACAGGTTCCTCACGCTTCCTTCCGCTTTGGGTTAGCTGTTCCAGTATCTGACTCAGCACATATCCTACCTTTCTAACCAATCACTGATCATGTTATTCTCTCCGTTCCCCAGTTCAAGTTGACAAGCCACGCATGGGGAGTATGGCAGTGGGGACCGGATGATCACACGTAACTTTCCAAGGTGATTTTTCCATTTCTCTATAGTAACTGGGGTACAGACATTGAAACTCCTGTAGATCCAACGATCCTGGTTTGCGGTGTGACACGTCGTTGTTGGACAATTTCCGCCTAGATTACATCGTTGTTGTTGTTGTCTATATGATGAAGAAATCCGTCCCCTGACTGCTCCATGCAAATGCTTGGAATATGTTAGTGCTTTTGTCTTTTGCAGGAGAGTAGGTGATCTCTCCGAGGATTCTTCTAGAATAACTTTGATAATTACCATATCACATACATATATACATGGATGAACGTAACTGTGTTCGTCATGCCTGATATTTACCCGCATGACAGTTGAGACTAAGGATATAGACATCAGTAGAAATTACTTAGTCTATATAAAACAATAATTTAGATTCCGCCTCCTGGTTCCTTTGAGCCTTACAGGCGCCAGGGAGTCACGAGCCAAGACACAAAAAAAGACAAGTTCAACCCGAGCACACGGAAAATCCTGACAGGAAGCGTTCAACCATATTATAGCTCCACCTGACCACAGCTCAGCTACTCGTATGGTAGTCAAAGTCAAGTTAGCTCGCATGAATGGGGTTATACATAGTGGGACCTTCCCGCTCTCCTGGAGCCGATTAACAAGTTAAGCAAACATTTAGACTGGAGACTGTTCCTCGCGACACTACGGCTAATGTCCAATAATTGGCGGACTATGGAGTCAATTACCTTACGCAGAGGAACTTTCTATGGACTCCTTCGTTAATCTTGATCTACTAAACCGGTACATGCTTCTAGCCGGACGTAACCCCTAGTTGCTCTCGTGGTCTGTGGGTTCACCCGCGGCACTTAGGAGTTAGTTTCGCTTTACGCACTCAGCCTTAGTTATTAATAGCAGATACTGTTGACACGCAGAAAATAAGTTATTATATACTCCAGTTGGCCTCGGTGGTTAATTAGGAAGGGTTACTAAATGGGTTAGCATTGGGCCAATTTTTCGAATTTTTAGATTGAATCATCAAGAAAAGAGCTGGATTTAAAGCTCCAGTTCTAATAAATTAAATCGTTATCTTCTGTCCGAATAATTGCCTAACAACGAGCCTGCATACTACCTACTTCCGACTGGCAGTAATAATATTCATCACTAATCCGGTTTTCTAGGCAGCGTTTAAATGTTATAACAAGATTGATAATAAGCTAAATAAGGTTAGATACAGGCGTATAGCTATTATAATATTGAAAAAATTACAGTTACTGTACATCGATAAGAAGAGTATATCTAAGTTCACCCAGTTTGAAGTTTGAATATAACCCGTTCAAACACATATGATCAGCACCGAGAAACAAGTCTAATTATCTAAATATTAGAGGTTAACGTTCATGGTATAAAAGGATTAGACTCGTTGTCCTGCCTCAAGGCCATGGCACATCCCCGGGATCTGGCTATGGTAGATTATGGCCAGTTATTCTCAACGTTCAAAATGAAGCCGAAAGACACGGCTTGTCAAGCGGACCTATTCAAAAACAGTGGCGTTAGCATTGATCTCATCATTTAAGAATTGGATAAGAAAGAATGAACGCGTCATCCTTGATATAACATTTCCAAAAAAAAGAATGTATTCCCCTATACACGGAAGTATGCATTCCGTGGACATTGATATAACAAGATATTCCTAACAAGACATTCTGACCAATCACTAGTATAGGTTTATTGAAGCATTATTTACATAAGAGGATCCATAGTTGCATATTTGGAAGACTAAGATATTTCAGACAGGGAAGACAACCATATATAAATAATGCCGCGGATATCGCCGATACAGCGAGCTGCTTTGGACGTGTGAGGCTCTAACAAAGTATTATAAGCCCGTCAAGAGGCTGTTTGGATCCTAAGTAATACCAGTACTTTCCGTAACCTCTAATCGAAATGAGTATGGTACAGCAAACCCCGATCCCTGTAGTATACCCAAGGGATCAAAACAATTGTGCGTCCGCTTACGACGACGACGGGCGTCTTCCGCCGATTTCGCTTCCAAGTTCTAGTGGTTCATCTTATTTGTATCTAATTCTAATTGACACAACTGCCATTCTTGGCGACAAAATGAAGCCCGAGCCTTGAAAGATACAATGGCCGATATGACCTGATAGGCTAATTGAACACATACAATGACTAGGATCACCAGAAGTCAAAGATTGTCTAATTGAACTATTTGGACAGAATGTCTATTAGAATTGAGGTTTAGGAAAAAAAGAGATTGTTTGAGTTTTCAGTCCTATCTACATCCAGAAATCTATGTTCCGCGAAACAAGCATTTATCTTTTGGTGGCCTGGTGAGTCCTAGTAGAGACGTACAAATAACTATAATACAATTAAGCAGTACATGGATCTACCAAGCTAGCCCCATTAGGCATTGACTGCTTGTGGACTTGACCGATCGTCTTGTCGGGCACTTTCCGATTACTATAAATTAATTTAGAAAACTGAATTCCATAAATAGTTGTGTACTTGGGCTGCACTTCCCTATATATTAGTAGGTTCTTGACTCTGTATCCCCAAAAAGCTGTAGTGAGATTATAGTGCTTAGCCACTTCATATGGTTTAAGGGCTCCAGGAGTGGCACACCCGTCTTATCTTCCCCGCACCGAGTAGGGATTGAAACCCTAAACCTAGGATACCAGGAGCCAAGGCACAATATTCACACGGGTTATCACACCGTACCATACCAAATTCGAAGATATCATCATAATTACCTTTTACTTCCCGATTTTGTGAAATTACGGTACAATACGTGACATTACACCTATGTATCGCATTTCGCAATGATAAGATGATATGAGAAATGCGGGAACGGTGTTCTAAAGTGGCTCGTCGACCTGCCTGCTGCAGTAGTTGCAGACGTAGGTCCCCACGGAGGCCATTGATTTGACCATGCTTGCTCCCAAGGCCAGCCTCGCGTGATGAGAATCAAATCAGGCAATAGGGGAGGAAGCAATCGTACAAGAGGGCGCAGCGTGGTGAGCGAGCCATATGCCCTCAGGCGGCCCCGGAGGAAACGCAGGAAACCTGCATAGCTAGCTAGACGTTGGAATAGTTAGGCTCTAACAGGTTAATATAATTTTGATTGCTTGATTGAGTGAAGTACAGGAAGTCCGGGCCGGTGCCGTCGCGAAGCAACCATAATCATCGAATGCACATCCAGACATCAGGGATTATCATGTCTCAACGATCCCAGCTTCGCACCCTGCGCCAGTGGCGCGCTTACAGTCAGTACATACGCACATAAATTATTACATACCAGCCGTGCCCCATATGGACACCCTGCAAAGGAGCCCCCACCTGTGGTGATTGCTTGCTTCGCATGTATTTGATTTCATCTTTCGAGTGCCAGATGTTCATGGGACTAGACTTTCCCCCGAGATTAATTCGGCCAGCAACTGAGAAAGGATGTTCGGTACTATCCGATACGACAAGGAAACTGACAGTCGTGAGCATGTGGAGCTTCAAAGAGCAGATGGCGTTGAGGCTAGAGGCTATACCCCGATTGCCTGCGACCGCTGTCGCTCGCGAAAGGTCAGTAAATCCGCATCACCCTTCTTCTACCGCTACAATCTACATCTACCCTTGGCATGGAATAATGTTATAATTCCCGCCGCAGCAGGATGCCCGCTGACATGTCTCCAGCTGAAATGCAGCGGCGACAAAGATGGTTGTGGAAGATGCCGGATGGGTTCGTAACGAATCTCCAACTGGCCGGGACGCCACCCCGTGGTATCCTCGTTCCGCCAGTGTACGCGACCGTTGAGGCACGGGATTTGAGCCAAGGTTCGACGCAGACCTTCTTGGAGACGTCCAAAGGCATCGTGAATCGTGACATCCTGCTTCAAACTCAAGTAGATCACGCTCTGTGGAATATTCCACGCAGCGATGTGGTCGAGGGCGTCGAGCTCAATATGCGAAGCCGGAGCCATGGTGATCACAACACGATTCCAAGGGCAATTGAAACGCGTTGTTCATGAATATATATATTTTACCAACTTCTTCTCATATCAGTAGGCTTGAATCCGAAGCATAGTCAGTAGCTGAGACCCATATTGCTCGGCAGTACTCAACTCACTTGGAGGTCGGATGTTACTAGATTCGGTCGTTCCGGATTGAGAGTCATGCATAGGCAATGCTACTTGGAGTTTAGGCGTCCAAGCGCTAAGTAAGCAATATCTTCCTGAATGTCTCAGCCAGACCCTTTTGACAAGTAGGATCTGCTGGAGTCGCTAGCCAACTGTTACCCAGCTACATAACTAGAGCTCCCATTTATCCTGTTTTAACTTCTGTAATCCTCACGCGGATTCCCTGCCCTTCAGGGCTCGGGAGCCCAATTATACAATCACGCTTTACATCGACGTCCCGCTCCCTGATTGTGTCATGCAAACGCATGTCAAAACGAGTAATGAGGTGGGCTATAGCGAGATAAAGTTCGGCAAATACAAGGCTACTGGGTGGTCAGACGGCGGGGGAAAAAGACCGATAGCTTATGAACACTGACTTGATACCAAGGCATATCCGAGATCCTCTGCCAAAACCCATGAAATAATCTGTTTTCAACTGAGGATTGTCCAGCCAGCGATGCGGGTTGAACAGGTTAGGGTCCGGGAAGATGTCGGGATTCATATGATGCAGATAATGGGACTGCATCACACGCGCCTATACCCATGGATTAGTGAGTGAGAAGTTGGCTTAGCACTGCAAAATCCACTCACCCCCGCGGGTATAATCCATTTTCCGTAGCGTAGTGTCTCTTCCGGTGCATATCGAGGCATTCGGCTTGAAACCACATGAGATAGCCTGATTCCCTCCGTAATTACTGCCGGCTGTTTGAGCCAACGCGATCAGCCTGCATCTTACGTAGAGGACTGCTGATCTGTTATCAGTGACCTACAAAAAGCCTGAGGGCTTCGAGAGCAGCCACAGACACCCGTGACTCAGGACGGTGCATGAGGGGCGCCAGTTCATCCCTAAGTTGCAATAAGGTCTGAGGGTTGTCCAAGGTATGAAAGAGAACGAGCGACAGAGCCCTGGCAGTAGTCTCAGTGCCTGCAATAAGCAAGAGATTGGCCTCTGCCGCTAGACGGGCGGGTGCTTTCTCGCTGGATGGAAGGTTGCTCCACACAATATCCTGGAAGATCGATGGTTTCTTTCCAGACTCCTTTTCTGCCTTAAATGAATCTTCAGGTTTGTTGCTCTTCCCCTCTTCCTGTTCACGGACAGATTCCTCAATCATACCGCGGAAGAAAAGTCGATTCCTTGGGATGAGGGCGGCAGCAGGGCTGATCCAATGCATGAGGCTGGACGGGATCAGCGTAAGACATGCTTTGGCGAGCCATGGGAACTGGCGACCGACAGGGCCAAATTGACTCAGTTTGCTGTACGCCTCGAGATATTCCGCGCCGAAATCCTGGCGCGTCAAGTTGTCCGTCTCCACGCCGAAAGCGTAGGCCGAGATGACGTCCATTGTCAGCGCACCGCAAGCAAAGGTTAGAGAAACAAGATCACCTGTGCAACAAGCCTCTGCAAAGCGACCACAAAGAGTTCCAATCTTGTCGATTATCATCTGCTCATGCTCTTGGACGGCACGCTTGCTGAAGAAACGATTGAGGGCGGCCCTTCGCATCCGGTGGACATCGTGATCGACGGTCTGGAAAACCGACCATCCCAGGGGGCCATTTGGCTCAGAGCGGTAGTACCAGGGATCTCGATTGCGCTTACGATTGCCTGCGGCATATATCTCATCGAGGTAGTTGGGGTCGTTGATATGTAAATGAATTGGGTTAATGCGAACGATTGGTCCATATTTCTTATGCAGTTCCTCAACCTTCCACAGATAACGCAGTTTGTGTGGGAAAAGGTCATAATAGAACTCATACCAAAATGTCGCCGCAGCAAGCTTGGGGCCTGGGAACTGGGCCAGCGGGTGAAGTGTTAAGCGATAAAGACCGAGAATGATTCCGTAGATAAGGTATAGAGATATTCCACCGAGCAAGACATCTGTGAATGTGCAATGGTGGATTAAAAGGCCAGACCAGCCCTTTGAGGACATCCTTTCGACAGGGAAAGATTTCTTCCTCGCAGATCGTACAACGCCGGGGATGTTGTAGTTGTGTTGTTCCATTCTAAAAATTTAAGGGCGGTGTACGCCGGAGATAACCAAGAAGGGCAGGTCCCGGCCGCCGGGCATGAATCGTGAGAGCGTGAAGAAAAACGGTTGCCTTCGCAACGCGCACATGACCGTTTTGTTCCAATCAGTATTATTACTACTACTATCTAGTGATAGAGAAGACACGCAATCGAGGAAGGTAAAGATCAGAGGTTGTCATCCGGCAAACCCCCCCCCCCCCCCAACCACAGAAGAAAAAGAAAAAAGAAAAGGGTTAATGTCACAGTCACTATCAGACCGGATGGTTTTCCAAAACCGCCAACGATTCAGGGTCCCTAGGTGGACGACTCACATTTCGCCCAGATTCTGCAAGCCGACCAGCTCAAAGTATGCCGACTGCTTCTGCATCAGCTCAGCGTGGGTTCCATACTCGACGATGCGGCCTTGGTTGAAGACATAGATTACGTCGGCCTGTTGCACCGTGCTCAGGCGATGTGCCACGGCGATCGTCGTGCGGCCTTTCGCTGCGGCATCCAGAGCAGCTTGAACGAGCCTTTCGGACTCTGAATCGAGAGCGGAAGTGGCCTCATCCAGCAACAGGATTCTGGGGTTACGGAGCAATGCTCGAGCTATAGCAAGACGTTGCTTCTGGCCACCGGACAGCATGCTGCCTTTACTACCAACGAGAGTATCGAAACCGTTTGGCAGACTGATGATGAAATCGTAGATGTTTGCGTTCTTGCAGCATAGCACCATTTCGTCTTCTGAAACATGATCGCGGTCCGTACCCAGCATAATATTCTCGCGGATGGTACCTTGGTAGAGCGTTGGCTCTTGGCTGACCAGTGCGAGATGGGAGCGATAATTATTGATATTGAATGATGAGATATCCTTGCCGTCGACATAGACCCCGCCGAGGATTGGATCGTAGAATCTCTCCAGGAGGGCAATTGCAGTGGACTTGCCACATCCACTAGCGCCGACGAATGCAACGTACTGCCCAGGCCTGACGTGCAGATTGAGACCTCGGAGAACAAGCTGATTTGGTCGCGTCGGGTACCTGAAGTGCACGTCTCTGAACTCGACATGGCCTTCTATACTCGGGACTCTCTCGCCATCTTGGCTCCAGCTATCGATTTCCGGCGTCCGGTCGAAGAGAGCCTTGAGACTAGCAGCAGCGTGTCTGGCTTTGGCAATATCCGGTGCAAAGCTGAAGATGGTCCCGGCAGACTGTGCCCCGAAGATGACTACGCTGAAACACAGAAAGAATTGGAAGCTGAATAGAAGGGTTAGAAATATTATGGCGTCGATTCGGGGGACTGTCATCTACCCACATGGAATATTCGTGCCTGCCGAACAAGGTACCTCCATACCAAAATCCGAGAGCCATGCAAAGAAATTGAAGTGATTGAGATGCCGCGTAAAGAACGGATGACTTGAGAACTGACAACACTAACCTGCGGCCTTGCGAGAGGAGCTGTTCGTGGTAGTGTTTGCAAACGTCGCCCTCGCGGGTCAAGGAAGCCACGGTGCGGATGGCTGAAATGGCCTCGCAGCCATAGCTGGCAGAATGTTCGTAGACTTTCTTCTTCTCCTTCTCAAGTCGGACCAGCATGGCCAAACGGAAGTAACCACAAGCCAGAAGGAGGGGGATAGTGGACATGCACACCAGACTAAGTTTCCACCCTACGGCCAGACCGATGGCACACGAGGCAACTAAGGTGGTGACCAACAAGAAAATCGTCATAAGAGTAATCCCAGACAGCCCAGCCAAATTGGAGGTCTCGGTGGACAGGAAAGAAGTGAGAGCACCCGAAGAACGTTCGTCGAAAAAGGCGATGTCTTGCCGGAGGATACATCGAAATGCTCGGTCGCGAACCCGATGAGTCAGTCGCTCTGCGCAGTAAGAGAACGCGATACCCTGAGAGATGAGAGCGAGAAGCTGCACAAATGCGAGCATCAAATACATCAGCGACCAGAAGTTGGCTTGTCGCCGTATCTCAGAGCGCTCCGAAAGAGGAAGCGAAAGGGCTGTAATGCACTTGGCAAAGAAGACAGCTTGTGTTGGATTACCTCCACCGCAAACGGCCGAGAGTAAAAGCCCGAAGACCATAGATTTCCATTCATTCTTGTTCAGACCAGCAACAAAACGTATCAGCGTGAACAAGGTATAGTTGTCGGCAATGTCCTCTTGTCCCTTCCTCGCAGGCGCCGTTTTCGATGCGGTCCTGTCTGATCGTGCCTTGTCCACCTGAAGGTCATCAGGGTCTACTCCTTGATCCTCTTTGTCAGAGCGGTAGTCATCCTTTTTGGATTCGGGTCGCCATAAATCTGTCTCAGGGAGTATGGGATCTTCATCTTCGTTTCTAGACTCTTGCTTGGTCGCGATTCGCTGGGCCTCAGCCAAGTTGTAGTAAGCCCCCCTCTTCTGGAGAAGGTCATCGTGGGTGCCCTGTTCGACAATACGTCCGTGGGACATAACCACAATATTGTCCGCATTCTTAATCGTAGACAGTCGGTGAGCAATAATCACTGTGGTTCGTCCCCGGGCAGCTTTGTCGAGTGCGGTCTGCACAACTCCCTCGCTCTTCGTGTCGAGTGCGGATGTTGCCTCATCAAGTAGGAGGATCTTAGGATCGCTCACCATGGCCCTAGCAATGGCAATGCGTTGTTTCTGACCTCCCGAGAGAAGGAACCCTCGTTCGCCAATATCGGTTTCGTAGCCCTCGGGAAGGGCGGTGATGAAGTCGTGGGCCTAGAAGCCAAAGAAGTCAGAACATCGCATCGTAGATGGTATGAGCGGTGAGGGTGTGTCTGAGGCAGGACACCATAGCATTTGCCTCACTTACGTTGGCCATCCGAGCAGCACGTTGCACCAGCTCACAAATTGCTTCCGCGGACTCGTGCTCGTGCGCTGTTCCGATCAAACCGTGCTTGATATTGGCAAAGATCGTAGTGGCGAATAAGGTAGGCTCCTGGCTCACCAGAGAAATCTGTTGTCGCAACCAGCGTACGTTGAGGTCTTTGATATCACGGCCGTCGATGTGTACGGAACCACCGACAGGATCGTAGAAGCGTTCAACCAGCCCGATGATAGTGCTTTTCCCAGACCCTGAGGCCCCAACAAGCGCAGTAGACTTACCCGCGGGGATCAATAGGCTCACATCATCCATCACAACAACGTCGGGGCGGGAAGGGTATATGTGTCTTATATTCTTGAGCTCCACATTACCTTGCAATTCCCCCAGCTTCTGCCCCTCGGTCGATAAAGGGTCTAGAGGAGAGACACGATCAATGGTTGCGTAGATCTTGTTAGCTGCGGCGATGGCTGAGGTGATAGCCTGAATATTCGGTGTAATGTTCCCGAGGGCAAAAGCCCCCATCATGATGGCCATCTGAATAGTGAGGATTTGAGCCAATTCAACAGACCCATCCACCAGAAAGCGGGAGCCCATCCAGAAAGACAATCCGTAGTTGAGATAGATGTACCTACAAAGGCAAGGTCAGAGCACTGGGCCGTGTGAGGTAATTGAAGAGACCGCGATTTGGATGGCGAGTTGTTGCACCTACAGAAAGAGAAAGCCAATCATGGAGCTGGTAGTCGACTTGAGCTTGAACCCGGACTTCTCTGCCTCGACCAGGTAACCATCGTATCGTCGAGCCAGCTTGTCTTGGGTATTGAACGCAGCTGCATTTCGGATCGAGCTGATGACCTCTTCCGCAACCGTTCCTCCTTCCGCAAAATGGCTCAGGTATTTCTTGCTGAGCTTGGCGACGAAGGAACCCACGGCGCCCAGTGTAACAACAATGGCAGCAACGGTGGAACACAGAATCAGTGTGAGCTTCCAGTATCTGACGAAACCAATCACGAAGGCGGCCACAAAGGTGGCGATGGCTGTCAGGGTCAGTCCCACCTTCTCTGAGATGCCTTCTTGCACAAGATTGGTGTCTGCTGTGATGCGTGTGGTAATCTCACCCGCACCTAGCTCGTCGAAAAAGGCAATATTCTGCCTCAGAATGGCGGCCAAGAACTGCTCTCTGATCTTTGCTGTGATATGCTCACCAGCGTACACGAAACCCACCGTGGCCAAGTATACCATCACAAACTCCCCAATAGCGAGGTAGAGGAAGTAAAGGGAGAATCTGGCAAGCTCGCTGGTGAATTGGCTGTCAGGTATGTCGCCCAGTAGAAAGCTGCGAAAGGTGCCTGCAAGGCCTCCAAACAGGACGGTCATCAGAGGCATAAGCGCACCGCCGATGATTGCTGCCAACGAGGCGATGATCAGGATGACCTTGTCATTTCGTGTCGCATACCGATACAGCGTCATGTAACCGACCTTGCTGGTAGGCAGATCCACCTGTCTCTTGAGGATGACCCTCTCGTGCTCAGGGAGATGTTTGAACGGATCACCATCTTCCTCCTTTCTGTCTGTATCTGATGGTGCTGAGCCGACTGGGCTCAAGGGAGGGTTGGTGGGCGTGGCGTCTTGGCCTGCCTGGACAGGCGCCTGCTGGTCTCCAATGTCGCGGCTCAGCATGGCGAGGTGGTCCAACGATCATCGAAGGGGGCAGTGGCAATCAGTTATGTTGGTCAAGTCTGCCAGGAATGGGGTGAGGATGAAGCAAGAGAATCTCTGGAGTGTGCAGCTGCTATTTGTTAGGCGAGCCTGAGCCCGAGCGCGCGCGTTTTGTTTATGCCCCTGAATGCCCCTACCGGTGGGAGCGACAAGGTTATGGGATTGTTGTATTGCAAGGTTGCCTGTGTACTATGTGGGCCACGACCCAGTCTTGATCAATACAGGTCTAAGTACTGTAACCCTAACTCACGAGGAGTAGCGTGCACTGGGGTGGCAATACAGTTGGTATCATCTTTACAAGACTTACAAGTCGCAGATCCCTGAGCCCTAGCCGGCGAATCAACAATGAAGGGGAGGCTCGGAACT